TATGAAAGCGCCTTGCACGGCACTCACAAAAGACTTCCGGTTTTCCTGCCAGCGCCAAAGCTTGGGTCAAGGCCTACACGGCAGCGGACATTCACACACTGTTCGGGACCAACGGCAACACAATCAGCTTTCACAGGGGTCCTCATTTCTTTTGTGGGCCTGGAACAGTGTGATCAGTACAGCCGCCTCGGCATCCAAAGCTTTCAGCTGACGCCCGTAAAAGGCTTCCTTCTCGAGAAGCCTCCAGGCTCCACGACCGCTCTGATCGTGGTGCAAGGCAAAGGTGGTTCGTAGCGGGTACTTCTTCGCATCGAACCGTGGTTCAGGCCGCCGAAAACTCTTGGCACGAAAGGCCACTTGGATGGCCATGTCGTTTCTCTTGTGCCAACCGGGCTGAGTACACAGCCCCTGTAGAAACCCGATCATCGGGTCGTTCGGTGGAACTTCGGTCCCCGTCAGAACTTCAGGTCCAACGGGAGCGGCCTTCTTGGGCTTGATCGTTTGCTTCACGTACTTCTCGTCGTAGCAAAAGCTCCACTCACAGGAGGTGAGTATCTGCCTCATGTGGTCCTGAGGCATGTCCTTGGTTCCAGCATCGACGAACATGTTGGTCGTCGCTGTCCATCTCAAAGCCACATTCGGCTTGGCGATCATCCCTCGCAGCCAGGCCACCGTGAAGGCGAGGGATTTCTGGGAGCCGTAGGAAGGGGTGTCGCTGTTCCCCTTGTCGTAAGTGTCCTTGGCGTCGGTCACCACCACAAGCCCAACCTGGTCGAGGAGGAGGTCAGCGTTCTTGAAGCCCAGGTTGTAGCCAAGGGCCTCGGCCCAGTGTCCACGACAGTACTGGCCGACGTCAAACCCTTCTTCAACACCAAGGAGCTCCGCTGCAAAGGTGGAGCGACACACACGTTGTAGCCTGTGGCTCCTGTAGTCCAGCAAGGCGAACTTCCCGGAGCCACCGTTCAACAGCTTCTTCTCGGCCAGGAGCACGCAGTAGCAGCTCTGGCTGTGGACGCGCTCCAGGGGCTTTTCGCCAAGGGTCCCCTGCCTCGTGACATTCCCGAGGCTCGCATCCGAGACCACAACAATCCCGGCACCGTCAAGCTCCAGAGGGCGAAACTTAAGAGCGAAGCTGCTGCTGGCCTTGAAGTCCTTCAGGAGGGAGTTCGCGCGGAGGAGGGTTCCAACAGAAGCCGTTTCACTCTGCAACACTGACAGCAAAAAGCCCATGTCGGCGCGAACCTGAGCCACCAGCCACTGCAGCGACCCAACCAAGGCACGAAGTTGCTTAACCTCCCCGGGGTGCAAGACAGCATCCAGGTCGCGCCTTCGACTCGCTGCCACACGAATTGGCTGGAGGTTCTGGTGGTAAGCCTCCATCGAAACAGTGACCACGCCCGTGACCATGTCCTGCGCGATCTTCTTCCCGCAGTAGATGAACTCGTTCTTCTCGACCGAGCCGAAGCCCAGTTCGTCACCCAGGCGGGCAATGGATGCCCAAGCGGCGCTGCCCCCTGTGAACAACAAGTCATCCACGTGGCAGCAGAGTATCCCTTCCAGCTTGGGCACGGCGTCCTTGGACCACAAAAAGAACAAGGCTGAGTCCATTGTCGACTGGGTCCAGCCTTCCTTCAGCAAACTCTTTTTCAACCTCAAGAACCATTCCCTCGGAGCGTCACTGAGGCCGAAGACTCCTTTGACGATCCGGCTCAACCGCCGGCCGACGGGGAGCACAGGACTTCCATCCCGTGACTCGAGGTTCTGAAGGTAGAGCTCCCTGGCCCCGTCCATGTATCTCTCCCCCTTGAGGAAAGCACTCTTCACGTCCGCGGAGCCAGTGCGCCACCCTTCTTTGAACTTGCTGGCCCCAACCGAGAACAAGAGGTGCTGCGACGTCCTGCTGGCTGTCGGGGCATCTTTCCTAAGTTCCACGGCCGTCAAGTCCTTGTACCCAGGGACCACGAGGCGGGCCGAGGCCCGAAGTGGAAGGCTGTTCTCGGCCGTGCGCACCCCGTCGTTCTTGTCGGTGAACACGTACCTCGGGGTGAGCACCTTGTAAAGTTCACCTCGTTGACGAAGCGTAGCCAAGGTCTTGGCAGTCTCCTGTTCACTGAGCACCTCGACGGCGTCATTGCGCACCCACACGTTCCAGGCCTCCGCTGCTGCCTCCTTGAAGGCGCTGCGCTGCTCCGGAGTCATTCCTTTCCAGTGGTACTCTTTCCGGGCAGCTTGCACAGCAAAAGCTTCCTTCCCGGTGGGCCACTTAAGCCCAGCCTTCGCCATGGCCTCGAACTCTGTCCGGCTTGGAAGGGGCCAACGACCATCCCACGTCCCGTGGTCAGGGGCCTCTGCCGCGGCGCCTTCAGCTCGATCAAGCGCCGCCTGAGCTTGAAGCCTGACCAAAGGATGCACTTCACCATCTTGGGCCCTAGCAGCTTCCAGCAGCGCGTTCTTCTCCAGGACAAGGGCATCGAACGGGAGGTCGGTGCCACGAGCTTGTTGTCTAAGAGCTTCTGCGTCTACTTCAGGCGGACGCTTCGTCCCACTAGCGTCTCCTCCAGCACTTGGGTCTGACCCCGAGCTTGGGTCCGCTTGGCCTGTCGTAGAGTGCCTCCTTGGGGTTCCTGGTCCTGACGACAAGACGCCCGAAGCCAATGGCCCAATCACGGTAGAAGGTCTCCTAGAAGCAGGTGCCGAGGAGGTAGAGGCTCGCACGAACTCATCGGCCGACACAGGTGGAAGGTCTTGACCACGCTCAGCACGACTCCTAGACACTGTCTCTCTCAGCCTCTGACCAAACGACTCAGCACCTGTACTAGAAAAAGGGGCCACGGGTTCTGAAGCTGAAGATTGTCTCGGGAATCCAGTGCCTTCTAAAGGCCTATCTCCATCTGCTCCGGGTCCCGACACATCCTCGAACGTAGCATCTTCAGCCTGCACTGGAGGGCCAAACGGTGGTTCTGAAGCTGAAGATTGTCTTGGGAATCCAGGGCCTTCGCCTTCTTCCACATCTTCAGCTCCTTGGGGCTCTTCACTGGCAACTTGAGGACCGATCATCTCCCATTCCTGGTCCCTCTCAGCAGCCGCAACTACTTCTTGCAACACAGCATCCCATTCCCCCGAAGCGATTTGCTCCATGGGCGAGGCTCGCCTCACGTGCTCCAGGGCGACTTTCGTCAGGGTGCCGCGGGCCGTCACGTAGCAGTTGTTTCCTTCAAAGGCCACCAGCAAGCCCGGTCCATGCCATTTGCGCAAAAGAAGTCTCCGTTTGTTCTGGCCCCCGCGGCGGTTGTACTTCTGCTCCCGCCAGTAGTAGACCAAGTCCCCCACGGCCGGCGCATCCGCAACTGTGGGGTTCCTCGATCTGGCCTTTTCGGCCTTTCTCAGGGCACTGCTGAAATGCAGCCGCAGCATCGCCATCCGAGCCGCCTCTCGCACGGCCACAAGGCGCACGAAACCCGGCTGGTCCATAGCATCAATTTCCCCAAGCCGGCCACCTCCTAGAGCATCTCCCGGAGGCAAAGGTTGGCGACCCACGGCTGCTTGCATCGGGGAGAAGCCGCTGTCGCCCACGTCCATATTGTACGCAAGGATGGCCTCTGCAAGTCCCGACTGCATCTCCTCGAGACCCATAAGCGACTGAGAGGCGGTGGCCGCAGCAAGCACCGTTTTGAGAATTCCACCGACTCGCTCGCAAAGTCCATTTTGCCACGGCGCCTGCACCGAGATATAGTACAAGTACACGTTATTCTCAGTGGCGTACTGCTCCATCTCATGGCTGATGAACTCTCGCCCCTGGTCCATGACAAGAGTTCGAGGAACTCCAAAGACAGGGGCCCATCGCTCCTGCATGAAGCGAACCACCTCCTGGGTGGACTTCTTCTCCACTATCACAGCCATCTGGAAGCGAGTCACGGAGTCGACGGCGTGGAGGATGCTATAGCGAGTTCCGGCCGCGTCGAAGACATCCAGGATATCAAGAGCAACTTGTTCACCTGGTTCCCGAGGTGCCGGCAAAGAGGCTGGTCGTCGAGTTTTGGGAGGCCTCTTTTCTTCACACACACTGCACCTCAGCTGCTTCGCTGCAATCACCGCCTCCATTGGAGCACCGGCTATCACCAATGCCCTCGCCAGTCTCTTAGGGCTTCTGTGCCCCGTGTTTTCATGCAGTCTCCGAACCGCTTGCCGCACTGCCGCCGACACAGGAACCTCCTTGGGGGGCTCCTGGATCACTGCTTCGTCTTCCGTGTCCGAACCGTCCGGACCCCCAGGCACGTCACTGTCGAAGTCCGTCTCTGCCGCCAGGGCCTCCACATCGTTCCCGGTCCGGTGGTCCGTCTCGAACTGCTCTTCGATCGCCGCCAGCAAGTCTTGGGCCCCAGGAGCGCCCCGTTCACGGAACACTCTCGCCATCACCGGGCTCGACGTTATATATTGCTGGCCTTGCACGGAAAAGTGAAAAACCGACGGCTCCTCCAACAGCTCGCGGCCTTCTGGGGTTTTGGTGGGCCCGGCTCCGCGAAGAAACTCCAC